ATTTATGTATTTTGGTTCATAATGCCCAGATATACATTACGCTTTCCGTGTTGCTTGTGAGCTGACGTGAAACCTTGAGATTCCCGTGGGAGAGTTTAGCCATCGTACAGTTACGTAAGTAACGTAACTCTTCTTCTTACCGTTCTTTCTGGCAGCCTGCCAGGGTGTTTTTGGTTAGTGTTTTGGTGTTTCTGGTTCAGTGTGTTAGTGTATTGTATGGATTGGCAATCAGCTGATAGTGTTTTTACTTAAAAAACTGCACGATGAAAAACTGCAAGATTCATATATAAGCTGGCGTAAAAAGCTATAAACGTGCGCCGATTTTGCTGGAATATCTTAAATTATCTTAAAGAATGAAGGAATATAAAATATGTCGTAAGGGTTTGGAAATGGTAAATGCTAACCAGTTTTAACAAATTTTTTTTGTATCTTATTTCTATATTGAATAAGCAAAAAAGTATTAAATATAATTTTTTTACATTTATAAAAACTACCGTTACATGGTAAACAGGGGTGGTTTTGCCCTTATTTCACACATTTTCGCAAACATGTTCAGTTGGACTAAATGATATAATTCGAATTTCGAAAATCGAAATTTTAGCATTCCTGAAACTTACCGTTATATGAAAAGCAGGCATAATTCTAGTTCGATTTTAAAAATTTTCAATATCTTTCCAAAATTTTGTTACAAACATCTTTTTTGCTAAATAGTTATTGCAGACATCAATTTTGAATAAATGATCTAACATATTCACTGATTTATCGAAGATTTCGTATTTCTCTAAATTACCGTTATATGAGATGTGGGCGTGGTGTTTGTCCGATTTTAAGCATTTTCAGCCATTTGGTATGTTTTACTAAGGCCAACAACTGTATTTGAGTATATCTGAAAACTACCGTTATATGGGCGTCGGGTATAAAAATTTACCGGACCTTTGGCGCCATGATATCTAAACGGGTCATATAAGATCGTTACTTATTTTGCTCAGTTACGTACTTACTTACATCAATTGGCTCAGTGAGAAAACTAGCTTTGGCAAATAATTAAAGAAGTAAAGATATATTAAAAAAGTATTATTTTCGGTTGTCTAATTATACGAAATTATATGCACTCCATCAGAGGTACTTATTACCTTCACCAAAAAAAAAAAAAAATACACTCGCTAGATTCTGGTTTGGTGTACACATTGAAACTTTTTTGTCGACATAAAATTATGTTTACACAAAAAAGTTGCTATAGGTGGGGAAAAAAAAATCGATGACCGCCGTTATTGATTGTCATACCTAACTTTAAGCCTTTTTAAAAGCTCCAGTTTTAATGAGTTCTAGAATATCGATTTCAAAACGTATGGATGAGATACCTAAAGCATAATTTAGAATTAAAAAAAAAACGCTATCCAAAATTAGACTTAATTTTTAGCATACAAATCCGATGTCTACTTATAGTGCTCCTCTGACGACATTTCGTATGTTCAGACACCTTTGCAAATGACAATAAACTGAAATCTAAAAGTATGTGATGGAAAATAATATTTTTAAATTAAAGTTTGATCAAAAATTAAAATCAGAAATGTGATATAAATTGAACGTGCAACAAATTTAGAAAATGAGCTTACATAACCTTCATCACCACCAGCCACATGCAATGAATGACTCTTGTTGTAATCGCTCGATGCTTGACGAAGCGCATAGAAAAATATACATACATCCATATTTTATCTTACGGAATTTTTATTTATTCGTATAACTTTTATAACATTACATATGCATCAATTTATGTACATACATATATACACCTTCGTAATGCTTATTCGATTTGTTTACCTAATTTTACCTTTATCTCTCGCCAAAGAATTTTATCATTCACTTTCAGCTCATCGCTTGCAATATTACATAATAACTTTCCTCCACGTGGTTTAAAGCGAAACAAAAAAATAAAATTAAAAACAAATAAATGTAAACAATTAAGAAACACTGGAGCTACTTCGCGCACTCCAACACAGACACTCACTCGTAAACACATTCAAAAGTGTTACTCAAACAGGGTTGCCACTTGTAGACAAAATTTGGGTTGGTAAAAAGGTAAATATTTTTTGTTGAATTTGGGAGATTTTTGTGTGTTTTATTTAAAAACCAAATCAAACTTTTCGCTCCTGCTTTGTTTTTCGTATTATCTTTATAAAAAAAAAATTGTATATCGATAAAAGGTGAACATATAGTTCTTCATTCAGAACTCATCTTACTGGAAACCCGAGGAGCTTTTGATTGCCTAAATAATTTAAATGATTCTTTAAATAGAAATAAAAAATTAACAGGTATATAATTACTCATTATGATTGTTCATAAAAAAAATTAACGCCAGTTTTAGTAAAAGGCAATTGTTACATAAAAAAAGCCACAAAAGACTAGCGACAAAAAATAAAAAAGTAGTAAATCAACGGGAGTTTTTAGCTGCACGTTGTTGGTTATACTAAAATTTCATGGGCTGTTAAAATGCATACCCAAAAATTTTCTAAGAATTCACAGCAAAAAGCTCGAAGACAACAATTTTGGATTTTTCTAAATGTTGTATATAGCATGAATCCTTCATTTTTATGGGTTTGTTTAAAGTGGATAAAAATATTTTTATACAAACAAAAATATAAATAATATTTTTAATTTAAAAACATAAATAGTGAATATTAAAAAAAAAATAACCAAGTGTCTTGAGTTACCGTATTTGTATATAATAACTGCAGTTGTACTTTTTTTTCAATTAATGAAGCTTCGCAGTTGCCCTCAGTTTCATCACTTTCGCTTTTGATTGAAGGAAACCGAGAAGATGCCATTAATATGATCTCACATACCACATCATAAGTTAAATGAAAAGTTACAAAAAGTAAAAAAAAAAATATATTGGTAAATATTCTCCATATTTGGTTAATTTTTTTCAAGTGTTTGGTAAGTATTTTTTTTTGGTCACTGGCAACCCTGTACTCAAATTTAACGATGTGACTGGCGTTGCTACACATTTATTACCAATAATTTTATTGAGCAATCGATACGCGCCACAACATTTCTTTGCAATTGCAAATTGCAATGAAAACACTAAAAAATTAAAAAAAATTGGTACATATGTACATATGTATGTATGTATGTATGCACATGGCAAGCATATGGTAAAAACAGGCAACCCACTAACCCAGAGCCAGGCGAATGGTGACGGCGGCGTTCAACAAATGGCGCAAACGAATGACCGACCGACTACTAGCTGGCTACTGCCTTACTTAGCTAAAATCTGTCTGCCGACTAACGAGACAATACGCGAGCATATATGCAGTATTTAACATACAAATTTATTTTTTGATAACTCCTTTGATTGCTATTGCTGTTGTTGTTTTTGTAATATGACGACAGCGCTGAATTAATAATGTAGAGGCAAGTCAACAAGAAAATATTTGTGGCCAATACTCAGCGTTTGCGCTGCTGGTTATTGCCACCAAACGAAGTGACAGGCTGCTTGGCTGGCCGGGTGAGTCGTTTACTCGGTGGCTCAGTGGGCCGCAGCGACAATTTTTGCACCGCTGACATACTTTTTATTTTGCTGCCACTTTGCTTTGCTTCTCTGCTGCATCGTTGCTTTGTTTCGCTTGCGCTCTGCTCTGCAATTGGCTCTTCGGTGGCAGTGTTGCAGTGGTTGCAGATGCAAAATGCAAGCGAGCGTTGAATGAATAAAATAAGCAAAATTTGAAAAGAAAATGAACAGAAAGACATTAATAAGTAAACATAAACACGTTGCAGTTGTAAAGTAAATGCAATGTAGTATTTTGCTGGCTTTGCTTATGCACATACAAGTATAACTGGGTTTCAATGATTGTTTTTCTTTTCTACATTACATTTGCGGCACGAATTGTGGCATAATAGTGGCTTGACGACTTTATAAATACATATTTACATATTTATGTGTGTGCATATGAAAAGGGAAATGATTTTTTGCAATTCTCGAATAAGTGTTTGCAATAAAAATGTTATCGAAAATTTTGTGTAGTGCAAACGTACAAGAGATGCTATCTTAAATTTTTTACTTAATAAATAAATATTCTCCGGATTTAATTAGTACTTTTAAAAATTTATTCACATTCTTTAGTATTTTTCGATTTTAATATGATTCTATGGAGATATAAAATACAAATTTTCTCGAATTTTAATACAACTCAAGCAAACGAAAGACTTCAGTAGCGAACTTGCTTTTCATGCAATTCGTTGTGCACCCCTTAGTCAAAAGTAAATATGATTGCCAGGCAATTTGGAAAAAAATTTTAATTTTTTTTGTCGAACCTATATATTGTCTTTTTATATTTTTGGACATATCTTCGGCATTTACCATCGGATTTTAAAATGTGACATATCGGTATTCTTGTCTCGAGTAGAGTTTTTTTTTTAACAGAGTTCATTGAACTGAAGTACCTCAATCTAGTACTTTCACTTCCTATCACCCTAATAAACCAACCTAGTGTTTCGATTCGAAGGCAATTACGATTTTTTTTCTCACTGAACGTAGTTATCGCCATTTTACATCTTTCAATATATCAATGTTTTTGTCTTGGGGATTGTTTTTTTTTTAAGTTCACCTCAAGTAACCCGTACTTACCCAATAGATCTCAGTTGTTAACACTCTAGCTTATCACCCTAATGTCACTACATTAAAGCCCACCAAAAATCATTAAACTTTTGCTAAGGAAGTATTTTCATTAGACCATTAGAACAATTTAAATAATTTGTATTGTCAAATGTAGGTGTCATCGAAAAGTATTAAACGGCGGCCCCTAGGTTCAGTAAAAAAAAATTAGTTTTCGAAATTGATTTGCAAAAACACTTAGCGGCAAATTTTCTTCAGTTTGTTTGTAAGGTTGCACGGTCTGTTGTATATCCTTTTAAGCTTTTTAAGATATTGAAAATTCCTTAAAAATCTCCTTTTACAATTTACTTATATTCTTATTTGTTTACCTCTTTATTTACAGCGCCAGCGATCCGGTCATGACCACAAATAATGATGGCGGAACAGCAGCACAATGGAATCGGAGCTCACAGGCTGCCGTGTCGGTGCGACATGCCTTCAAAGCGTACGGCAAGAAGAAGAATGCCAATCAGGTGTTGAATAATTTAAATATGACCGTACCAAAGGGCACAATGTGAGTAAATATTAAAAGTGAGCTTTATTTTTAACAATAACAAGGTTAGTTTATTCTAAAGTTTGAATAAATTTCATAGTTTTGTAGCTCAAATTTGAGGCGTTCTTTTTCATATCGGACACCGAATTTGGTGTCACTCTTTCGACTGGCTAATAAAAAATTAATAAAAACTTATAAAATACAACATTTCGTCATAACAAAAAACATTTTTGAAATATGTTTGTTATAGAGAATTAAGCAAGGATTTGCAGGCTTTGGTCATAATTTTTCAACGTGATGTCTACTGTCATAAAAGTTTACTATATTGGATTACTCCTAAGTAAGTGCAACAATTCGGAGAGAAACTGAAAAGTGAGTTCTTTAAGGATCAACCATAAATAGTTTAATTTGCGCTTTCCTGCAAATAACTGATGAAGAAGGGCCTCATCGTTTCTCAAGCCAACATAGAATGCACTTAACTTAGAATCGAGTAGCACATGCTATCGAAGGAGTCCTCCACTAGTTGCGATCTAATAGCGGAAGAGGAGGGTCCCTAAAAATCCGCCTGACTACCTTAGAAAATTTCCACCTCGCGTATGCAGGGTGTTTTATATACATAACCATCTCTATAATTGCAAAAATTTCTGACTTCAAAGCTCTGCGCAGTCTGGCTGGAAAGCTTCAAATTGAGTTGTTCAATAAAAAATTCCAGCACCAGCATGGTTTAGGTCCAGTATCCCATATTTGATGCTTGTAAGGCCTGTCACCACTGCGTGCCTGACTCAGCTCAGTGACTGGCAGTGGCATATTATAAATAAATAGTATGCCGCCCGAAACGGCAAATGGATTTTATGGCTTTTTCAAGGCAGGAGTACACTCGGAGGTTTGGCATTGCCTGCTTCGAGGCCCACCGTTGTTAGAAAAAAACTTTTTCAAGAGGATTGCTTACCTACTATGGACTTTCATGAGGGGAGGGGGTTAAGAGGATTGATCATAATTATTCATTACCAATCTCCCCAATCCACCCCCTATTTCTGCTACTGCCATGGAGGTCCTTCGTGCTTGCTTTTCAAACTTTAGCCTCGAATTAAGCTTTGAGACCAGAAAAATCAAGAGATACGTTAGAGATCTCGTTTTACTTCCTTGAATTTCAATTAAGTAAAATTTGCTAGTTTTGTCTTATTTGCAAAGACGCTGAGGTCAACATATACATATGTAATTAAAAAGTGAAGGTCAGGCCATTTCCCAAAAATCTAGATTTATTCAAGAAACTTGTATTTGCTATAGAGGTAGACATAAGAAAGAGATTGCATACGAAAAAATGCCGCTGCTTACCCAAATTTTTGGTAAAATAGGAAAGTAATAAAGATGTCTTGCATTTTTTGCTTATTTACGTAAATGTGACCGATTGTTTTTTTTATATACACCTGTCACCTTTGATTCTCTATTGAATAGTTTCTGCGATTGAAAAAAAGCAGGCGGATAATTTCAAAATCAAAGACTTGTATGCCAATATAAAGTTTGTTTTTCGAATATTCATCTCTTTATTGACAATTGCTGGCATTGTTTTCGTAGTCGTCGATTGTAGTAATTGCAGCATAGCTAACAATAGCGCTATGTGGATATGTACGTAGATAAATAAGTGTAAAAATTGTTTACAGTGTTGCAGATATGTACTTACACATACACATGTTTGTAAGTTAACGTAAAATTTTCGTAATAAACTAACAAATCAAAAATGAAATGTGCAAACAAAAGCGCCCATGCGCTTCACAACCCAGCTCTCGGAACAATACAGAAAGTTCATTCATTTACTTGTTTGCCTTACTTAACTGCTGGTGGGAAATTGTGCTCATCCATGTGAAAAGTTGTTAATTTACAAATTTTTACTCATTCGAGAGTGTTGCATAAATGCATACGTACATAGCTCGTGCACACTTAACTGTTTAGCGCCTACACACCTTTCATTTTATATATATATGTAGGACTTTGGAGATGCTCGTTGCGTTAAATGGGTCATAAAAGTATATGGTGCGAGTAAATGGCTGATTTAAAAAAAAAAAAATAAAGCGAATGCATTTGTCTTAACTTCTCTAGTAACTTAGTTAGATATTTTAAATGAATCGCGTGCTAAATCACATTTTTTAAATGTTTATTGTTAGCTCGCAATTAGATTTTACTGCTCTTTTATAACTATTTGGTTACAAACTATTCTGCATTTAATTAAAAACGCTGTAACTATTCAATAACAAACGATTTGCTTAATCAATTTATGACGCATGCGCTTTATGAGCAGAGTCTCTGATCCGACGAATGTTGAGAACAAATTGTGTGAACTTAGTAATTATCTACAACATATCGTTTAGCAGGTACTATAAAAAACGGCGAATTTTAAATGCTGAATGCTGTGTGGTAGCTGTGCAATTACTGATTCTTGGGGAAATGAGTAAAACTGTTAATAAATTAGCATTCAGCTATTATAGTTTGATTGCTTCGCGACAATTTACAGTGAAAAAGGAGTGTAAAAAACACGAATCAAGTATAACCATAAAAAATTTATTCAAAAATATGTTTATTCAGTGGGTATTTTTTGTCTAAATTAAATACTTTTTCCTTCACATACGCTGAACATTTAAAAAGCTTAAAATTTTTTATCAAAATTGCCCGAAAAGTAGTTATAATTATTCGCGAAGGACGGAGTACCATTTCTTGTGTTGGTGGCCCAAAACAGTATGAAATTATAAATTGATTTTTTTTATTTATAGTCCATTTAAATAAAAAAGATGTCTATAAAGTAATGGCTGGCTTTTCGCTAAAGCTCATTGACAGGGTGAAGTATCTGGCCTTTGATAATAAGCTTTCATGGAGGCCGTTTAGCGAGGAAGGCGTTGGTAACCTTAAATTTTTGCGGAGTGCACATTTCCAAGCGCTGGAACTCAAACCAAAATGATATTTTGGCTCTAAGAAACTATAATTAAACAAGCTTCATTGTATGTCCTTATTAAGAGGAGGGCAGTAATCAAGGTCCATCACCATCGTCTACCAGGTGAAGAGGGCGAAAAAATCTGTCTTAATTGGAATCAGTGTGTCCCTTCGGACCCTTGTGCTCGCCACAATATTAAACGGTATTCTCATAGGTATAGAAAGCAATGTGCAATGATGTCAGGCTAAGGGACGTTGACTACCTGTATTCCCTTAAGAGAGGTCGGGGCGGGGTGTAGCATTAGGAACTATGACTCTGTGAACTTATCCACCGATGAAGCGCAGGCGTGTGTGAAATAATTCATACTTTCACTCGGAAACAGAATTTTCCACTGTGAGTGCCCTCTTTCAGTGAGTGTTAGGAGGAGACACGTGCCCATATCGAAAGAGTACCTCAAATTCATTATTTTACTGAACCCTTTTACTATCCCTGATGAAGCCGACGAGATCCAACAGTTGCACCTCTGTTACTTCGTCCAGACTGTTGAAAAAGCGTGAACCCAAGTACTTGAGTCGCGTCTTGCAGACCAGTCCACCGGACCTAGTATCTATCTTTTCGAGCGGCATATGGAAAACATGAATTAAACTTAAGAGAATAAGTGCTATCTTCGTGGTCAAATACCAACTTATACTCTGTTAGTTTTTTATATTTTAAATCAGCCTTCGGAAGATATTTTTGAATGTTTAAATTTCAAATAAAAATACTATAAAAACCCGCTAAAATATACTTCCTAAATATTTGTTAAATACAACTTTGTCAGCATTTGGCTTAACTGCAAATATTTTGAGTTCAACAGAAAAGTTGAATGCGCTACAGTTCAAAGCTGAGAAGAATGCAAAACATTGACATACATTTTTGAAGGCATCAATCGCCTGCGAATGTAGGTAAACACACTTTAAATACGAGCATTAAAATAAACAAAAAAAAAAAATAAACTAAAGCAAAAATTTTGAGTCAGCTCTTTTGTTGCTTGTCACTGTCAAAGATAAAACCTTAACGTACAGATAACTGCTAGATTGAACGATTGTGTGAGCCGCGTCAAATCAGCTGTTGCAAACTGAGTAAGCTTGTATGGCGCAAGTTAATTTGCGAAGTGTGGCATTGTTGTGCAGCTAAATGACTAATGGACCGGCATATACATACTTGCATAAATAGGCAGTAGCATTTATTAAAGGTTTGACCCCCAGCAGCTGTAGTGAAAATAAATGCATAAAAGTTGTATGAATAAAAAAAGGCACACTATTCATTGACAAGCAAGTCATTGCCGTCCATAATTCGTGCAGTTTGTCGACAAAAAATATGAAACGAAAACTAAGAACTTAATTAGCTTGTATACACAGTATGTATGTACATATGTATATATGCTTCCATATTAAATGTTTCTTGTAATAAGCAACACTGCTTTGGTTGTTCTTTTTGCTTGAACGTTCTATTTTTCGGCTGGAAAATCGCTGGTAATTGTGTAAATGAATAAACTGTACGTGACGCTGCCAAAAACAAACTCAAGTACAAACAATATGTATGGTTTTTACCTCTGAGTCAGTGGTCGCTTATACGCTGAGCTTGAGCTTGTCAATTTATTCGAAATAAGATTTCCGAAAAAAATATTGCAAAAAAAAATAAACAACATATCGCTTTGCATTTATTTCAAATTATTATTTTTTCTATATTTTATTATATAAAATATGGATAGACATGTATATGTCTCTATTTAAATATCATTAGGCTGCCTCACAAAAAAAAAAGTTGCAGAATTTCCACCAGACTTTTAAGATGTTCGCGAAAATGATTCTGGAATATATTAAGATTTACGTTAGCAGGACCGATTTGAAAATAGCACAGTTGGTAAAATTTGTATGCAGATCTTTAAAGCTAAAAGGATGCTTCCATCTACAGCTGGATTTTAACATTCGCAATCGCTAATTGTGAACGTCAAAAATCACCAAAAACAATACATAGCAGACGCGCCTAACCACATGCAACATCTAGTAGCAGATTTTTATTTATTTTTTTTTGATTTTTTTTTTGTTCCCCAGACGTCCTATGTAGAATTGTTCGGTGATTCCGAAAATCGAGTTGTTTTTTTCTATGGATTGGTTTTCGAGATATTTGCAATTTACCGTTATTTAGCTTAAAAAGTAAAAGTAGTTGCACTCAGTCCCTCATATTTTACGAGCTTCTTGAACAATCGTAAATAGGGCAAAAGAAAGTTTATGAAATTCTCCATAAACCGTATATACATCTCTACGCGATAGGCCTGATAGTTTCTGATAAATTAATTAATAACTTATTGTGTATTTTTTTTTATGAAAAAAATATAATTCAAACATTAACAGGGGAAAAATAAAAAAAATAACGACTGTTTATAATTCCGACGGAGAAACAGTACCGACTTTTGTTTTGTATGTGGGGTGATGCACCCTAATGTACAAACACACGTTCATGTGTGTATTTATGCAAAATTCAAGGTGTTTGCTGCCGGTGTTCGTTTGTTTTCGCATCGTTCTTTGTCAATTTGTTTTTATTTTGTTTTGTTACCTTTTTAAATATTTCTTTGTTGTACATATATATATGTATGTATGTATGTATGTATGTATGTGCATACGTTAGTGGTTTGTCTGCAGTTGTCGGTAGGTCGAATCGTTTAGCTGTTGTTTTTTTAAACTTTTTGGGGTTTTTTGGTTATCTTGAACTGAATTTCAACTTGAACTGTGCCGCTTAGCATTGACTCGAACGATAGCATGTCAAGTCGGCAACATCTGACATATGTATGTTCATACGAGTATACTATTAAAGACGTTATATTTTATTACATACTACTTATAAAAAGTGTGGCCATATTTTTTTTTAGTTATAAACATAGTTTTCCTTATACATACCGCGTATATCTTTATGCGTTGGATCTTTACGCAGGTTTTTAAAACCTCAACAAAAAAAAAATGCCAAAAATCAACGGTGAGTCCGAGCATCTTAAAAATTACGCCCTGCTTGTCAGATCGCAAGTGATTTGTTTCTTTATAAAAATTAAGTAAAAGGCGGTTTTTGGCAAAATATTTGAATCGATCTTGGGAGATCAATTTATTTTTTGGCGATTTAATACTCCCAAAAATTTTCAACTTTTTATTCCGAATTGTTGGAAAAATTTTAGGTAGGCTATACAACCTTTCAAATTTTAGTAGGTTAAAGTGTAAATTTCAAGACTCTAGCAAATCGCGTTGGTTTTTAATAATTTTTTTTGCTGACTGAATTTTCTTCCATATCGAAAAACTCCGTCAGCAAAAAAAAAAAATATTAAAAATCAACGCGATTGTTAGCATCTAGAAATTTGTACTTTAACGTGCTAAATTTATGGGCAATAAGAAGCTTAACATTTTTGGGTGTAACTGTTAATGTTTGTTGAATTTTTTACAATATTTGTACGAACTTTGAAATGTGAATTTATGTAATGCTGGTTATGCAGTGTGCTAGACTTTTATAAATAAAAATTATAAGCATTAAATAAATATTTAAAAGAAAAATAGCCAAAACTAGTTAAAAATCTCAAACTAAACTTAATCAGCTGGCCACAAGTGTAAGTTGTGGTCAACTCCATCCATAGTTTTTCTATACATAGGTTTTCTATATATAGCTAACTACTGCACTTTAAGCTGCAGAATATTACAAGTTTATATCAAATATCAGTTAAGTATTTTGAGTTCTTTCCGCTCTAACGGTACATTTCTTGTCCAAATTATTTCTTATCAACCGACCAGCGTACATAATTGCCAAATGCGCACCCAATCTGACAATAAATAGGAATGTTTAGACATCAGCTTTACCGTTCGGGTATCTTTTCCCATAACATATATATCTAACTACTATCCATTAACTAATGGAAGTTCTGAATCAAAAAATAAATAAATTAAACAATATTGTATATTTTTCGAGCTCAGACCATAGACACGAAATTGCAAAGTATCAAGACTTGCATACCTGACCTGAAATAAGTAGACTCCGCAAAAAGGGTTATCAACTTGTCGGCTGTCTGCTGTCGGCACTAAGGGCATCAGAATAAATAGCTTGAGTTTTGCTTCGGCCTATCCCGCCGTGGTGCTGTATGTAAGGTTGTGGTGCAACCGATACTTCTTGGTAATATTCTGTTCTGGCGTTACTTGCCTGCTTCTCTGCCCACTGGCGGCAACGGTTGACTGTCTTTTGGCTTGCTCGCTCCTCCTTTCATCAACGGGCGCGATTACAGCTGCTCTCTTCTATGGTTCGGATGCAACCTCTCTTCCCTGTTGGTTTCGGGTACACACATTCTTCCCCGATATTTTGGGCGGCCTTGCTATCTTCCAAGTTTGGCAGGTACTATTTCATTAGCGCACGACTTAAACCAGGTCGACGGTATTTTTTGACTCTGTACCTTGTTGCCACATTCACAGTTTTAACTGCAAATGAGGCCAGCTGCATTCCGAAAATCCTTTTGGTTCTGAAAGCTACTTTATAAGAGGCTTTCATCGTTTTTTTCTAGTCCTAGATTATAGTAAAATCGGAGTAAAGTTAGTACTTTTTGCCTTTTTTGTATGGGGCTCTTACAGGCAGGCTCCTTTTATTATTCAGGCTTCCCCAAACTTAAATTACACAAACCGTCCAAACATCAATTGGCTTGTGTGATAATACTTGGCCTTTACTAAAAAGTTTTGGATTAGTATTATTGTTCATAAACTTAAATTTTCATTTAATAACCAATCGCCCGCCTATTTCTCTCCAATTTTAGCTATGGCCTCCTCGGCGCCTCTGGTTGTGGCAAAACTACCTTACTCTCGTGCATTGTGGGACGACGACGTCTTGACTCTGGTGAAATTTTCGTGCTCGGCGGCAAACCGGGAACACGTGGCTCAGGCGTGCCGGGCAAGCGTGTCGGCTACATGCCACAGGAGATCGCCTTATATGGCGAATTCTCCATACGTGAAACAATGATGTATTTCGGTTGGATATTCGGTATGGGCACCAAGGAGATTATCGAGCGGCTGCAGTTCCTGTTGAATTTCCTTGATCTGCCTTCTGAGAAACGTTTGGTGAAGAATTTGAGTGGTGGCCAACAGCGACGTGTCTCCTTTGCCGTGGCCTTGATGCATGATCCAGAATTGTTGATTCTGGACGAGCCAACCGTCGGTGTAGATCCTTTATTGCGGCAAAGTATTTGGAGTCATTTGGTGCATATCACAAAGGCTGGACAAAAGACAGTCATCATAACGACACATTACATTGAGGAAGCGCGTCAGGCGCATACGGTGCGTATGAGTGATGCGGCATGAGAGTGTGTGCGAAGTGCGAAAGTGAGTGCAATGCTTTGTTAATTAAAATTTCAGATTGGTCTTATGCGTTCCGGTCATTTGCTGGCGGAGGAGTCTCCAAGCGTTTTACTGTCAATGTACAAATGTATTAGTCTGGAAGAGGTGTTCCTAAAGCTGTCGCGCATGCAGAGCCAAAAAGGAGAAATATCCAATGTAAACTTTAGGTGAGTTTGACCTTGACTAAGGCGTATTAGAAAACCAATTCATACATAAACTAATATCGTTATTAATAATAGTAACTTAGCATGTAACTTGGCACTAAAAATTTTTCGATTTATCAAAGTAAAGATTATTGAGAAAACAACCACAAACAAACACACACACATGCATACCAAATTATTTGTATTTAGAAGAAAAATTCATTCAAGCAAGCTGGTGTTCATAATCGCATGCATACAAACATTTACACGTCCCTCAGTGTGCGTTGTGAGAAAAAAAGCTAGGTGGACCAAAATCATTCCCTGATTTCTACAAAAGGATAACGTATTAACATAAAGGATAACCCCAGAGCCCTGATTGTGGTGCATGTGACAGTATTTGGAATTCAATTTACTATAATCATACTGAAACCCAAAAAAAAAGTAGTTGATTTTCTAAATTAAAAAACAAAAAAAAAATGTAGAAGCGCGTAATTTTGGGGGAAATTTTAATAACGGCTCATATTTTTTGTTGTATTTATTAAACTATTCTGCTAAAAAAAAATTGTATCATGTTGAGAAAATGGGCTTTGAAAAAGTTAAAGAAAATTACATATTTTTCAAATATTTTCCCATTTGAAGGACCGAAAGTAAGATGTCGTCTCATGCCGCCGGGCTAATTTTTAATATATGTATTCTTGCAACATCTTTTTTGTTTATAACAATATGGATTTTATAGTGCACACTAGAGTGAAATTTTATTTTTTCTCAGAAATTTTTCGAAGAATGGCTAAAAGTCGAGCAACGTAATATAAATGCTCACTTCTACCGGTTTCTTAAGACAAAATTTAAACTGCATAATGTTACTAACAGGGTTGAAAGACAGTTTAAAAGATTTTGATTACTCTGCCCCGAAAGTCTTACAAAAAAAGCTCCCTTGCCAACTTGCATGAAGAAAACTTCTTTTGACAGAAAGCACTTGCATGTACTCGTATATTATTTGAAATTGATAAATTCTTTTCTAGTTTTAAATTATCTTTTTTCTGTTTTTAGTTTAATTTCTTTTGATTTTTAGGTTATAATATTTCAAAAAGGGAAATATTTTTTTAATTTCTAATTAATTTTTTAAATGATTGTTATTTTTTCTTTTTTAATAACATTTTTATCTAATTCTTAGTTTATATTATCTTAAAAAGAAAAATATATTTTTTCAAATATCTATTTACGTTTGGGAACATTAGTATTTTATTTAATTTTTGGTTTAAATTATTTTAAACAGAGAAGTATATCTTTTTAACTTCACTTAATTTTTGAGCACATACGTATTTTTTTAATTTTAAATTTTTTTTCTAATGTAATTTACTTTTTATTTTTAGATTTTACAGGTTAAAAAACATTGTTGTTAATTCCATTTAAATTTTTTAATCATTTTTTTTTTAGAAAAATATATAAAAATATTTTTATTTTTAGATTTTACAGTTTAAAAAAACATTGTTTTAAATTTCATAAAAATTTTTTAATTTTTTTTTTTAGAAAAATATGTATATTTTTGTAATTTCATTAATTTTTAGAAAACTTATTGCTATGCATGTCTATGCAGAATAAGGCTAGAAGATCTTTCAATCCGTATTTTGGAAAGAGATAGTTGCCAGAATTGGTATATCCCAAATAGATATGTATATCCGCAAATAATTTTGTCCACCTTGCTTGTTCTGCACGACACACTGTGCGTTGGTTCACATTTTGTATTTGCGTGTGTTTGTCATTGTTGTTGTTGCTAACCAGCATTCAAAGCATCGTGCTTGCCAGCATGTAAAAAATAATTAATATATTTTTACGATTTTGTTTTTTATTTTTCCTTATTTTTTCACATATTTTATGCATTCTCACAACTCATCCTGCATTCGTGCGTGCCATTCGCAATCGCTGTCGGCACTATCGTTGTTGTTGTGTGGTTGTGGATTCACACAACTGCGTGCCTGCGTTCGTGCGTGCGTGCGTGCGCGCAACAATTACATACACATATACTTATATCTACTCGTATTTGTAATCGAATGCGTATTTTGTGACTCATCGCTCGATTTATGCGTTGGTGTATCGGTTGGTGATCATTATTCGATTCATGCGGTTTACAAAAAAAAAAAATAAAATCCATCCTGTTGTGATTGTTGTTAATGTTTATAATTAAATGCTCGTGACTATCGACTAACAGTAATAATATTTCATTACACGCCATGGCATTCGGCAGTAAAATGGATAAGCCCGGCTCGAGTCAAGAAGGAGGTGTGGTCGGATTGAATTTCCATCAGAGCAAAGAAGTGCTGATTAGCGAAACAAATGGATCGGTCTTTACGGTTTGTTAAAATATAAAATTTTTAAAGTTTTCCATCTACTCATACATGCTAATACATAACTAGAATATATTTCAAACGATTAAAGTAAGTAAGCAAAAAAAATAGTTTAAGAAAAAGTCAAAAACTGAAATTAATAACTGAAACCCTTAAACGAATTCCTGAATTAATAATGAACTTCTTTCTCTACTGAATTTTAAAGTTTTGAAAAAGTTATGGTTGGATCCACTAAAGGCCATTGCTCGACTTTCGGTTGTATGGCATATTCTGAGAATCGTCTTTAGACTTTATGTTTTTCAGACTATTGTAAAGCATTTGAGGCTAAACTGATAACAATCGATAAGGCCTCATTACTGTCTAATTTAAAAAAAAAGTATACCCTTATTTTTTTATTTTGAAATCGAAGAATATTTAGAGGTCGCTCAAAGCGCCCAAAGCTTTCCAAGTATTTTATACGGGGGAAAAACAACTTTTCCTTGAAATGGTATACTTTTCTACCAGAAAACTCTATTTAACTGCAGGAGACTCCCAATAATAATACCCAATTGTTTATTTAACCATTTTTCATCGCAACTATAAATTATAGGTCCGCCAAAAACCCACAAAAACCCCGACAAATGCAATGGGGCGACTAATAAAAAATTATTAGTATTAAAAAATGGTTAAATAAACAATTGGATAATATAACTGAAAGTCTCCTGAAGAGAACCAGAGTTTTTCGATGGAAAAATATTGATTTTCAAGAATTCTATACCATTTTTACGAAAAGTTTTATTTTTCCTATATAAAAACACATGGAAAACTTTGAGCGCTTTGAGCGACCTCTAAATATTTTTTGATTTCACAATAAAAAAAGTAGGGGTATACTTTTTTCGACATACGACGAACAATCCTAGGGGGTGAGAGCATAACAATTCCGACTTCACTGTTTTTGGACCATTCTAATGTGCACAGAGTAAAAGCTATCTCTGAGTATCACCGGCCTATGCACAATCTTTATCCAATGCGTATATAGTAAAAGCTCTCTCTCGTCGTCAACCATATATACATACATATATAATTGTACAGAGAGCTTTTAAAAGGCTGGAGGGCAGGACTTAGTGGCAAACTGTACAGTAAACTCTTTTAAAATGAGAACGGCCTAAGGACTTAGCTTAGCTTTTCTACATCATGTTTTGTAAAATTGTTGACCAGGAAGTTTTCTGAAAATCATAGTTAAGCACCGATTTGATTGAATTAAGAATGTTTGCTAAAAATTGCTTCACTTTCATGCAGTTCAGTAGAATTTTACCGCAGCTGATTTGCGATAGCTAAGGTCCAAACCCAGGAAAATAAACTATTTCATCTCATTTTCTTTGTATTTTACATTAAAACAAAAACAAAAAAAAACACAATCACTATTTTTGCACACACACAGTTGAATCAAGAACCCTATGACCCGCCGCCGCCCATGAAACGCAACACTCCCAAAGATGAAGAAAGCTGCCAGGATTGCTATGCGAATCTATGCAAGGTGCGTAATATTTAGTGAAAACTTCTTCTCCGCCACATCCCCAGAAATGTATAAATAATTTAATGAAAAATAAATTCCTGCCCGCACTCCATCTAGGTCACAACTAAAGGCAAAATGAAAGCACTGCTAACCAAAAATTTCCTGCGCATGTGGCGTAATGTTGGCGTAATGCTGTTCATTTTTGCGTTGCCCGTAATGCAGGTGATACTCTTCTGTTTGGCAATTGGACGAGATCCGACTGGTTTGAACTTGGCGATCGTTAACAGTGAAATGAACAATACAGTGAGTACCTATAGATTTTTTGCAATCTTCTAATATACTAAATAGTTTCCAGTTCCTCTGAGCTATTATCGTTCATTATTAAACGCCCCAAATTCATTTCATTGCTTTTCGCCTTCCAGAATATCTGCTATTGGGAGGATTCTTGCCATTTCACGAATCTCGGTTGTCGTTATTTGAGCCATCTGAACGACACTATGGACAAAACGTACTACACGAAACTGGAGGAAGCTAAAGATGCGGTGCGTGTAGGCAAAGCTTGGGGTGTGCTCTACATAACGGAGAACTTTACGGATGCATTTGTGGCACGCGTAGCCTTGGGTATGATCAAAGAATTGCTTACAGCAAAATAACTAATTTACTTATCATTTACGATACCTTTATTGCCGCCTAAGGACGTGACGCTGACGATGAGACCATTGAGCAGTCGGAAATTAAAGTGTGGCTGGATATGTCCAATCAGCAAATCGGAGTTATGCTGAATCGTGACATACAACTGGCCTATCGGGACTTTGCCATGACGTTGCTGGAGCAATGTGGCAATAATCCCAAACTTGGTGATGTGCCTATTCAATTTAGAGAACCCATTTATGGCACAATGAATCCGTCGTTTACAGATTTTGTTGCACCTGGTGTGATATTGACGTAAGTAGTGGCTTGGTGGGGTTGGGTGCGGACTTCCGGTATGGAAATGGAAAGTCTTTCCATACCTTTTGAGCTCGCTAACTACCACATTTTTCAGCAACATTTAATGATATCTATTTATATTTTAATTTCTATTTTTCTTTATGGATTTATAGCATTGTGTTCTTCTTGGCTGTTGCATTGACGTCATCCGCATTGATCATCGAACGCACTGAGGTGAGTACGGTCATATGAGTTTAGTAGTTTTTGAGCGTAGAGAGTATATAATTATATAACTATATAGAATTCGAACTGCAAATAAAAACCAATCAACTTTTAAATATGCTTGCAAGTAGGTAAATGAGTTCCTTATCAGATACATACTTGGTTTCTCTATCCCTGCGGCCGATTTTTTCAATTTCCTACGGGCTGGTTAATTCTAAGAGCAAACTTCTTTTTTCTCCTACTCGTTTAGGTGTCGTACTGTTAACATCCGTGATAAGCATCGCCTTACCCGCGGCAAAGCTCCTTTAAGCTTTCTATACATTTTGTATAAGCGCGTGCAGAGTAAAACCACTTTCTGCCCATCGCTGCCTTACATCGATAAGATAGAACTTTTACATTAGGGGTATTCTCGAAGTCTTGCAAAGCCCTGTCATGGTGCATGGAGTGCACGGTTTGCAAAACAGAACCCCGACTTTCACCATGCAATTCGTACAATCCGTGCACCATGCAATGGCTTTGCAAGAGTTTTCGAGAATACCCCTATCATGTCCCTCTGTATCAGCGGCTACCAGATAGAGCTCCGATTCTGTACTCGTCCATATACAATTTGGGATATGTAGGAAAGCTAAAAATAGCGTATATAGTTTAGTCGCGGAAGCTTTTTAAAGCTTTTTTTTATATTCTGGCTTCAAGCTATAACTACAAAAGGGATACTCAGAGAGCGCTTTTACTTTGTGTGCGGCCATATAAATCGGAGTGAGAGCTTTCGGCCCGCGGGGGCTGTTTTGTGTACCACTGAACTACAACGACAGTTATAATTTGACGAAAATGGTACTTAGGCTTAATTGCGCTACGTAAAATTATTTTTTATTTTAATGGCCTTATTCATAAAAAATAAAGTAGGTTTAAAGAGCTTTATAAAATGACATTTTCATACAGTTTTCAGTTTATAAACCTTTTTTGAAGCTACTTTACTTTTTATGAATAAGGCCATAAGACTTTAAAACTTTACAATGCTTAACATAAATAAATCCGAAGTCGTGAGAGAGAGGATATTGAACGGTGAGGGAATAAAAATGTTTTCCTGTACCAGCGATAGCGATATTAGCAACCATATTGATAATGAATATTTTTTTTTTTTTTTTTAACGCATGGAGACAAAATGTTTGCAATAAAGCCCACCCAGGTCTTATTCCGTTATTAGGTTTTCAATTCCTAAATAAATATATGAAGTAGTTTTAACCATAACCGGCAAATGCTTTTACTCTAAAAGTAATTTTTTTTTGTTGTTGTTGCCATTTTCAGGGCATGCTCGATCGCTCATGGGTCGCTGGCGTTACACCCGGAGAGATTCTCTTCTCGCACGTCATCACACAATTTGTGGTCATGTGTGGACAAACAACGCTCGTACTCATCTTTATGCTGGTCGTTTTTGGTGTCACAAATAATGGCGAACTCTTCTGGGTGATTGTATTGACGCTGCTGCAGGGTTTGTGCGGCATGTGCTTTGGATTCCTCATCTCATCGGTCTGTGAGCTGGAACGTAACGCCATACAGCTGGCGTTGGGTTCATTCTATCCCACGCTGCTGTTATCCGGTGTTATTTGGCCCATTGAGGGAATGCCCATTGTGCTGCGGTAAGTTTAGAATATTTTCAAGCAATAAATAGATATTTATAAATCGCTCTTTGCAGATACATTTCGCTTTGCCTGCCACTGACACTCGCTACCACTTCGCTGCGCTCGATATTGACGCGCGGTTGGGCCATCACGGAGAAGGCTGTGTACTCGGGCTTCCTGAGTACGCTGGCGTGGATCCTTGGCTTTCTGATACTGACGCTGTTGGTGCTGCGAGCGAAGCGTGGATAATATAATTTGCAACAGTGGCGGCCAAGGGCACGGCTGCAAATCGGGACAACAAATTAATTAAATTTTTACTCTTGAGTTTTTTTTTTTTATAAATCATCGATACTAGAAATTGAGAAATTGTACATGTAAATTAAAATTTGTACTTAATATGCAAAGTAAGCGAACTGGGTTGATTCGAACTCAGCTGTATATAGTATATGTATGACTTATATATAGCTTGCGCTTAAGACCTTATTCATATTTGTACATATGTATGTAGGCATGTACATACGACCAATGTCGATTAAAGCTGAATTGTAGTTGTTGTAGAGAGTATATACTATATACATATATACATAAATACAAAAGAAAACACAACAAATACAAGTGTATAAGGTGTCTTATCCTAATTTTAGCATTAATTCATATTTAATAGATTATCTAGTTTATTTTACATTCCCATGCACGCACCGTTCTATTTTATCAGCTTTCTGCTCAACAAAAATATCTAGTTTTTACTTTAAACTTTACACCTTAATAAATTTAAATCTTATCTATGTCGCTTGAGGGAGTTATGTAAACAAAAATTTTATAATTTTTTATTTCCGATGGTCTCGAAATTCATGACGCAACAAATTTAGTTAATCGACTGCAACGAAGTATTTTCGAACTAAAATTTCCTTTTTAATTACTAAAGTCTTTCTTAGATATCGACCTATCCTCAACTCACAGCTCATAACTTTTTGTACTTAACTTATTTTTATTTTTTTCCGATAACATTAAGCTGTGCACACACACGAGAGTATGCCCTACATACATCCATATATGCACATGTAAGTCTGTTTCTTTATTTGACACTTCGAATTGTGTGCCTGTGTGCTCGCGTAATTTCCATCATTAAACAATATAATTTTTTTTATAAAATATTTTAATTTAGTTATCAATTTAGTTATGTTTTAAGGTTAAGGTTGTGTTTTTTTTTTTAATTTTTAAGTTTAAGAAAGAATTTAACAATTTCCCTTGTAAATAAAAATATATAAAAAATTGTACTTAAAGAACAAAAACCAGAACAAAAATAATGTAATACAACAACGAATTAGTCGAAATATAGTTTATTTGTATTTTGTGTATTCTTCCTCTGCTAGTCTTCTGTCTTCTCTAATTTCGACTCACTGTCCACTCGAACACAACTTTCGTCCATTTTTGGTACACTGATAAAAAAGTTTCGTAACGTCAACTAAATATCTCTTTCCCTTTTCTCAGTTATGCAGATGTGTTTTTTTTTTTGGTAATCGCTACATATCGCACCCTTTTTTGTTTTTGAATTTCTCACAATGCCCTCCTTTTCTCTAACATTATCTAACACGAATGGACTGTGATTATATTAATTTCCTTTAATTTTTATGTACACAAAAAAGAAATACGAGAAATTATAAAATGTATTTGTACATGCATAACTTTTTTTAGCTACTTTGTGAAATTCTTTGGCACTTTAAGTAAGAAAATTCTATATGTATGTACGTACATATTTATGCTCATTCTAATAATTATGTATGTACTTTGAAATACAAATTTATATGCATTTTAGTTACATATGCTTATGTATATATGTGTAAAAACATATTGGAAAGTCAAATAAAATAAATTTAATAAATTAAAATTCGTCAGCGTGTTGATTTACAAGGAATATCTATGCCAGAAAAAAACATTGTGAATGCCTATTAGGAAGTACATTCATCTAATCCGCGTCAGAATATATAGAGTCTATTATACCAAATACTACTGTCGCAGATGAAATTTAGTAGGACTATGCCACTAAATTCTGAAATTAAGAACATTCTCTTTTTAACAAATTCTGAAATTAGGACCATTTCCTTTTTAATCAATTAACGATACGAACGAACGGTCAAATTTTCCGAATACATATTTAGCAAATACAATTGGGGTGTTCACAGTTCGTTCCAAATAGTGTCTCAAAATGTAGACGTCTACATTTTAAGACGTTTTCTAACCGTAAAATCTGTGGTGTTGTTGTTTCCCATACAAAATTGGAAAACGACGCCGTCTACATTTTGTCACACTCAAAGGTATGTTTTTTACGCGTCTACATTTTGCAACCTCGCAGCAGGACTGCATTATGGCAATACTAATCACATTTTTTTTAATTTATTGGGCACGTTTTCTGTATTTGCATTTAATTTTAGCGCAATTTCTGATGAAAAGAAACAAATCAAGGAAAAGAAATAACAAATATTACGAATTGGTAATTAAGTTAAATAATTACAATTTTTCAGAAACAAAATCGAAAGGCGACATATAAAAAACGCATGCAAGGAAGAAATGTCTGGCAACACCAGCAAAGTTTTGAGACGATTTTGCGACGACTGCTAGAAAGGGGTGCTCACAGTTTGATGCTAAAGATGTCTCAAAATGTAGACGTCTACATTTTCAGACACAATTTGGAACGAACTGTGAACACCCCAATTAAGTTCCAAAACTGGTTTCTTGAAGGAAACTAACTGTTTCCAAGCAAATCAGTCATGCCAGATTGTGATAAGTATTAAAAATTATATGGACAATTGTGAAATTTTTCTCCCGTTAACCAATTCAAGCGCTGAGTAAGTAGGAATCTTTCTAGTTGTAACTGGTGTTTAATGTAACATGTCAGGAGCGGATTAAGAATGTGGCGCACGAGGCCACTATACATGTGGGGCCTCAGTTTTGAGTTAATAATTACATACAATTAATTGGAACAAAGTGTATTTTAATTTAAAGAGTACCGTTAATTATTGACGTTTTCTTTTGAAATTCTCGCCTCAATTCCTTTGTACTTGCCGCTCATGTTGCATGCAGTATTAAACGACGGACCACGGCAAACTCTCGTTTATAAACAGATATGGAATAGTACGAATATTTTGTCTTTTTGAAACGGCTTATTATTTCTGCCTGTACTTTCCGTAATCTCTAATATGTCCGGCGGTCATTCTGGGCTATTAGTTTCAGCGTCCGATGGAAATTTCCATTATTGGGTGAGTCGAGAGCCTCATCACAGCCAGAAGAAGCTAAGCTAGATTCCGCAAGATGTAATTTGTAACAGTGACAGCTTTAAGAATTGACAGTAAGTATTCAAAAATAAAAAAAAACACAAGAAAATCTTGGATTTTAATAAAAACTGAAGCTAATTTATGAATGTATTAGATGTTTTTAAATTCTTTTAGGCCTTTAGTAAGTAATCTACGGACCATTAAGTTCTTTACTATCAGCTGAAATATGTGTTTTGAATTCTTTGGGAACTTTGTGGGATACATATTTAAGATGTTGATAATTTAGGGATTTTTTCCTTGATTTTCGTGGGTAATTTAACAGAGAATATCTGGCATCACTGACACAAATGGAATTTTTAGTAGGCGCCAAATGAAATACTAGTATTTTTTAAAAGCGTACATATATCTAACGTACATATACATATATATATATATAGGTACTTATTAATGTATGCATATAGCAACGGAAAGGCAACATCTTAGTGGAATATTCATATATTCGTATATTTGATAGAGAGTTGATGTATTCTTGATCCTATGTGTTTGTAGACCAAGTGCACACCTTCCTACATTCCATAATTATAATTCTATCAACGTATCAATAGAAAATTTTCATAGAATGAGATATATAATGACGAGAGCGGCCAATAGTATTAGCACATTTATTTGTAAGTCTTGGCACATAAAGAACAACACAACGGCGGTAAATGCAGAACGCTTTGCGGCGCTAAAATGTAGGCGATTTGCAATAGTATTTGTTAATATATATCTACTTGAGTAAAATTATCACATACACGCTGTTTAGTAAGCGTCGTTTATTTTAAAAACATAGACTACAGCTTAATGGCGATTTATAACTTTTTTTTTTTGATTTCCTATAACTTTATTGTTTCGAAAAGGAAAACAAAAGACTTAAGAGCGGAACTTTAGCTAAAAAGATTCATGATTTATGCTAGCTTTTTACACAATGTAACGTATATTTGCAAATTGAAAACGTTGACGTAATTCTGAAATTTAACGAAAACGTTGTTTCATAACAGTTATTAGATGAGAAATATTTTTTCCGTTGCTGTTAAGAGTTATCTCAAAACGTTTATTTTTCACGTTGCTCGATAACAGTTATTGCCCAACGTTTATTTTTTACGTTGCTTGATAACGGTTATTGCCCGATGTTTATTTTTACGTTATCTGATAAGAGTTATTTCACTCTCTCACTTTTAATTCATTATCTTTATCTTATGGGCTGTTTTTGCTTACGCGTAAATGTACATTTAGCGCATTTAGCTCTAAATGCTACTCTAAATGTACATTTATCCATACAAAATTCGTCATCTAAATGCAACTAAATGCAACTCAATCTTTACATTTAGAATCTAAATGCTAAAAGCATCCCTGTGATCTTCCAAAATTTCCACGATTCGAACATGGTTTAATGATAAAAAGTGGCAACATTGCTTTTTCGAGTATACAACCACTAGCTGCGTTTCAGTGATCGCCGATCGAGATTTCATTTATTATTTTACATTATTTGGATAAAGAAAAGTTACGCAAATTCAACATCGATATGATGCTGATAAAAATCTGGATTAATTTGTGATCAACTCTGTTTGTTTTGTTTCCTAATTAGGTGTGGAAAATATAATTGGCAGCACCGACAAATGAATATATACACAAACAAATGTTCGGTTATGGTTAAAACAATTCAGGTTTTTGTATTGAATTTTCGGTTTAGAATTTATTTTTCCTTTTCAGTAGGGGTTTTTGCACATTATCTTTTCCGTGAGAATTTATCGTAATGGATACGGATCTGAATAAGCGACTGGAACACGGCTGTTTGTCAAAAGCATACGATTTCGAACTCGCGTAAATGTACATTTGCTAAATGCGATAGCATGAACGCTCTTCGAAAACATATGTTCGAAAGTGCTAAATGTTGCATTTTAAATGCAGCAAAAACGCTGCATTATTCTCCACCTCCATTTTCATCAATATCCTAAACTTACAACGTTTATCAGACAACGTAAAAAATAAACGTTGTAAAATAACTCTTATCCAGCAACTTAAAAAAATAAGCGTTGGGAAATAACTCTTATCGGCAATGGAAAAAATATTTCTCCTGCATAACAGTTATCAGGCAACGTAAAAATTAAGCGTTGGGTTATAATTCTTATCGACGAAATAAAAAATATTTCTCATCTAATAACTGTTATGGAGCAACGTTTTTGCTATAAAACTTATAACTGTTATGTCCCTGATTCAAATACAAATATAAAATTATTACCAATTTGCAATAGCCATCTATGAGATTTAAAAAAATTCATATAAAAAATGTATTAAACATTTCTTCTTTTCTCGCATTTTCTGGGGGTTTTGGCGAACCTATAAAATATAGTTACTATGAAAAATGGTAAAATAAGAAACTGGGCATTATTACCAGGAATCTCCTGAAAAGAAACCGAGTTTTCCGATCGAAAAATATTGATTTTGAAGAATTCCATACAATTTCTACGAAAAGCTGTTTGACCGTTTTGAGCGACCCGTAAATATTTTTTGATTTCAAAATTAAAAATATGGTCATATTTTTCCTTCGGGGTGATAGCGTTAAAATTCCGACTTTACTTATTTTGGACCACCCTAAGCGTTTGCACAATTTTTTATATTAAATATTTGTTATCAAGCATTATTTCCTCGAAATTATGAAAGTATGACTTTCAGATTAAAAAAAAAAAAAAAATTATCAAAAACTTGAAACCAAACAAAAAAGTTGTACAACCTTCACCTTTTTATGAATTATAGTTTTCATACATACAAGTACTTTGAAAATGTGCCTCGTCGGTTTGGACCGTATCTGAAACGTTTACAACGTTGTTTACGTTCTTTGATTCTGACTGTGAGATGGGATTATCTGGAATGTATAAAGAAACGCAGCCGTTCTTCTCCTAAACGGCAACATTGCTGTTGGGATAAAAAAATCCCTGTTACTCAGAAATGTCTCAATAGCCGGGGGATTTTGTGATTCACCACAGGTATTTTTTGGTGTTTTATTTTTGTTCACCTCGATTTTACGAACAACCGGAACAAAGCAAAAACTGTTTAAAAATACGAAAGTGTGTGCAGCAATTTTTGGATTACTCACTGAAGAATTTTGTGTTAATTGCTCTAAATTAGTTATTTTTCAACGTTTGAGAATGAATAAATAGCTGAACAGCAAGGCAATTTATACTCTACTCATGGTGTAATAGGACCAGGAAAATATGGACAAATCATTGGTGAATCAGTTCACTTCCTATGTGGAGCAGCTACGCACCACGGAATGCAGGTGTGTTTTCCGCAATGGTTTACGTTTGTTTCCCCCTCATCTATAATCGTTTAATAAATCTTTTCCACAGCCAAAAAGGAAAAATAGCTTACTTTCAACATATCGCCGAATGCATTATGTCGCCTGCACTAGCTGGCCACATAAACTATGCCACGCATATAAATACGGCGACAACCGTGCTGCTGCTATTTTGTGAAGATCTTGATCCCGTGGTCAGAATGAACGCCGAAGAAAATCTTAATCGCATATTTCGTGCATTAGAAAAAACGCGAGTTAGTCGTATACTAATGGACTTGTATGGAGAGATCAAAAGAAATGGCAACCAAAGGTTTGCCGATTTCGTGTAAATTTCAAAAAATTTGAATTTAATTTGTTTTGGTGCTTTTTTCATTTCTAGGTCCTTGCGCATTTGTTTGAATCTATTTGCCTATTATGCACCGCAGATACGGGAACGTAACATTAAATGGTACGCTATTCGTTTGTTACCTTGTTTACAAACAATAGCGCAACGCAAAGAGACGCAGCTATGTGAAACCCTATGCGAATTTGTAAAGAGCTTTGGAAAGTGCTTGCAAATGGGACTGACAGATAGTGAAGCCTGTAACCTTTTCGAGGTAGGAGAAAATGCATCGAGCTATCATATAAGTAGTTAGCAATATTGAGCTATTTATAGTAGTTGTTGTTAAAGACCAGAAGTACTTTTTCTTGCCATTAGGGTACGGTTTTCGTTAGACTGCCCCTAAAATTTCATAAAACACATGCCGATATTTAGAATTTAGTTGCCTACGAGTCGAGCCAAAATCGATCATTGTTTTGGCTGATCGATTTCCCAGTCGACAGAAATCGACTCGTGTTAAGGCAGCTTGATGTTGAAAAATTTACCTGCAGTTTGGAATACCTGCATTTCATATATTTAACTTGGTTTTAGTTAATATTTTCGACTGACATACTTAGATTTGTAAACTGATTAAATAAGAAAAATTAGAAAAATTTAAAACTTATTTGTTACATATAAAGAGTATGAAATAGTCTGGCAGTGTACATTTTAAATTTACAATTTTTTTTCTAGTGTGCAATTTTTTATTCGTTTTCAAAATTATAATCCTAGCCATTAGCCAGGTCAAGGTAGCCCAATAAGTATAGGTAACCTACAATCATTTGCATAGAGCTGAAAATTGCTACGTATATTAGTAATAGTGTTTATTGTAAATAAAAAACGTAAAAAAAATGTATTCATGGTCAAAGGTTGTTGTTGTAGCCTTTCTGTTTTTGTTAGCCAAACTGAGGTGCAATAATACGGATGTTACCAAGTTATTTCACGCTGGTATTTTTACCGAAAGTAAATATTTATATTATTTTTTAAATTAATGATTATCTCTGAAACCTCTAATCCGATACGAAAATATTACTACTAAAAATTAGAGATTTAACAGTATTTAAAAAGTAAATTTAGCTATTCTAGTTTCTTATAATTTGACTTCATTTGCGAATTCAGCGGAGAATTTTCATATGAAATGTTAGCATTTGTCCTTGTAAAGTGGTATTATTATTAATAAGATGTGTGGCCTTCTCTAATTACTTTAATTCAGACCGCTTTCATCACTTCCGATGGTAATATTTGCATTTCATCCACTATTTTTTAATTAAACAGGACTACAATAAGTCGTGGAGTAGGCATACTGGGGAAATCATGGTACAAAAGCGCCTCACAGGTAGAATGGAAATTGTACATATTATGAAGAACACACATTTTTGACTGCCAAACCTCAGAAATAGTCATTCCAAAGAACAGAAGTGTTAAACCAGTTTATGTAGATAATTGCATGATCTACACTTTTGTCTCACCTATTATAAAACTTACCGGTTGGCTGAAAAATACAAAATAGAAATTTAAGTGACCATTGACCATGTCCGAGTCTCCCGAGGCAGACGAAATTCTGTCTCGTCCACGTCTGGTGGTTGTGTGCCCAGAACGGCATTCACTGGTCGGGAGTCTACATAAACCGAGACTGCCTCTTTGTGAAATCCGTTTAAGGCCTGTCGATAAGCTGTCGGGTCCAGAGGTTGTTTGATGAAGCTCCACGTTGTGGTTCTCAACCAAAAACTGCTTGCAGAGCACTGTGTTATGCTCCTTAATAGGGAGTATGTGGGCCTCGTCGTGCAGGTAGTGTTGCGGGGATATCAAAAGGTATCCTGTCGCTGTCCTGAGTGCCGTGTTCTGGCAAGTCTGCAGCTTCATCCACTGCTTCCTACTAGTCCCCGGTGACCACACGGGCGCTGTATAGTTCAGAACCGGTCGGCCAATTGCCTTGCAACGTTACTTTGGCTTGCCCCAGATGCTGCCGGCTAGCGACTTGAGGACCTTGTTGCGGCTGTGTACTCTGTTGACAACTGCGTTAGGTACGCTACTCCCGAAGGACCCAAATTCCACAGCATCAACATGCATATTCCGTCGGGTCCAATGGCTTTGTAGGCTTTCGCATCCCCGATGACTACCCTTACCACGCCGCTGGTGAAAACAAGAGGCGCCCTAGGTTTTGGCTGTTTGTGCAGCCTTCTGGTCACTCGACGTTTGGCTTTATCCACTGGAGGGTTACCAAAGTCTATTTCAACTCTGTCGTCACGCTTCGTCGGGTTGGACAATGACCTCGCGGTTGACCAAAGCTTACTTACACCAGATGCTCCATCCATTTCTTCCGCTTATGTACGTTCACAAGTTGCCGAATCTCTGAGTTGAGATCCCTGATACGGGGATTTCCGGGATCGGCCTGACGAAGATTGTCGCGCTGATTGGCTAAGACAGCCGCTTCAGCAGGAAAATTTGGACGGGGGTCCGAGATACATCCCACTGGGACGAAGCGGGCTGCAGCAGTAGTGACAACCCTGCGGAATTTACGCCCACCTACGTGAGCGTCGGTTGGTGGGGGTAGTGCGGTGAAGGCGCTTTCAGTATCATCCGCGAAGCCTTTCCAGTCAGCTTTAGAAAAGTTGACATAAACCCGGTGATCCGCGGAAGCAAAGACGGCTGGTTTATCAATCGAGATGATTATGGGCAGATGGTCTGATGCTAAAGTCAGCATAGGTCGCCATGATATGCTGTTTATCAGATCAGCACTGACTATTGTTAGGTCTGGCGAGCTGCAGCAGCTGCCCATAATCCTGGTGGGTGCGTCGTCGTTCATTGTGCAGAATGTCGAATCGTCTTTTCTGTTTAGACAGGCGTGTATGCGTCATTCAGGCCACTTCGACCTTTATTTACAAAAGGTTTGGTTTTTCTTCTCATTAACCAAAAATGCACTGCACGTCAACATTGAAAATCGCTTTAGATGGTTTAAAACTGCAATTGTAAATAAATTAAAGCACATATAGCACAGTAAGAAAAATACATAAATATACATATGCATATATGTACATATATTTGTGCTATTGCAGCCAGAATAAGTCGAGCGGGTGTGTACATCGCTTCGCTTCTGGTTGCTGTGCACACATAAAGGTTGAATTTGTTTCTGTTCACCTTACCAAAAAAAAGCCCCTTCTGTATAATTGCATTGGTCTCTCTCTTAGTATTCTTCTTCCTCCACCACTACTACATACCCATTTTTGGTATTTTAGTGTTTTAATATTTCATATTTTTCGTTTTAGGCTTTCATGGCAAATATGGGCGTCGAGTGTGCCGTGAAGCGACGATGCTCGGCACAAAATTGCATCAGTCTGATTGAAAACTCGCGCAATAAGAGCTTAATGGCCAATCATGGACTAAGCAAAGCGCTCGGTAAGTTTTATATACATACATTCATACAAATGTACATGCAAACAAACTTTGCAATTTAGAGAAACACTATGAAAGTCATTTTAAAAGCAGGATTCTCAGGCAATTTCACTACTTTAAAATGTAAAATCCAATACGTTTATTATGAGTTTTTTCCTCGAAGCGATTATTGATCGTACTCATTCAAGTCTTAACTTTTGCGCTAAAAGCAATGCAAAAGTTATCGACAACGAATTAACATCAAACACTTTTAAAGCATGCCACTTTGCAAGGTGGGAAGCTATACGGATACTACTCGCGGTACGCGTTGACAACGGAAATATAAAATGCCTTTGGATTTGAGGAAAAAGTGCTCAAAAAGATACCAAGATCGATGTTCACTATGATAGGGCAATCGTAGTGTCTTATGGGACGGTGGTTTAGGTTTTGAAAACTCCTCCAGTCATAGTCTCCCATAAAACTGCAACGTCTAGCATGTGTGCCTTTTTTACAAAATTTTAAAATTTAATCGTGACACCCCCTAAAAGCTTGAGGTTAATGGAAAAACTGCGATATACAAAATTTGAGTTCTATTGGAGGTGGTTTAAAGCTTGCGCCTTCAGTCAGAAGTTTGAAATGTCCCAAATATTGGTGTTTTATTTTGAAATTTCCTATAGTTTGTACTTTTTAATTCTTTCCCAATTAAACCTGTTTCCCGAGACGTATTCATATTAAACTTTTTTTTCTCTCTCTTACGCAAATGACGAATATTTATTTCTACCTACACATTTAAATAATACATAAGTATTTAAGGACTCCATTTCTGTGATTAATTAATTTATCGATATTAATCGATTTTGTTATCGAAATTTATGGATATTTTTATCGATTTTGTTATCGATATTTTTATCGATTTTGTTATAGTTATTTTTATCGATTTTGTTATCGCTATTTATCCATTTTGTTATTTATAATTTTATCGATATTTCTATCGGGTTTCTAATAGATTTTGCTACCAAGATTATTATCGATTTTGCTATCGAAAATTTTATCGAAGTTTTCATCGATTTTGTTACCGACATTTTTATCGATATTTTGTTGGATGTTACTATCGATTTTGTTATCGATAGAGTATAAAGATAAAAATGAAGATAATGGAAAAACAGAATAACATGACTGTTAATAAAACGAACAGGGGTAGAGGTAGGGATCTAGATAGAAAAAGGCAAAAAATATAACCTTAAGCAAAAGCAGATGTGTGTATGTATGTATATTTGTTATGAGACAAAATAGATATGTACATATGTAACGTAAGTTTCACTTCTCCCGTGTGGCCCAGGCGCACTTTTTTATATTAAAATTTAATGAGCTACAAAATTGCCTACTTTAAAATTTTGATCAATATTTGTTAAAATTCGTCGAAGTTTTATAAATGTTCTAAATTTTGATTTACATGTTTTTTTAGATAGTAAGTTATGTTTTCATAAAAAAGAATATTTTTTTTTTTTTTTAAAGAAAAGTAGCCAAAACCTGATAAATGCCTTTTCGCTATTTACATTCTCGCCATCGTACATTTATGTATGTATATTGTATGCATACATTTTTACGATCATTTTTCAAGTTTTTCTTTTTGTTTTGTTTTAAATAAAACTGTATTAAGAGATGTTAAGTCTTTTTATTCTAAAAACAATATTGTAGGTTCCGATTGGATGCTTTGGAAATGTCGCGGTTTTTGGCCACAAAAATCTGGTCACCGTACTAATTGTCCTAGTGTGTCGCTTTGTTTATTGCAACCACTTTAGCCGAACCTGTACTCTGTAGAACCACAAAGGACATTCTCCTAATTGTCCAAGTATGCCCCTTTGTCTGGGACAACCACTCTAACCTAACCTGTACTCTGTATAGACTAATAGCCTTATTCATAAAAAATAAAGTAGTTTTAGAAAAGGTTCATAAATTGAAAAATATATGAAAACGTCAATGTATAGAGCCTTTTAAACCTGCCTTATTTTTTTTTGAATAAGGCCATAATATTACATTGAAAACCTCGTAAATTCTATATATTTTTAGTTACCTTTTGGAAGCCACAACATTTTTTTTTTTTTGGGAAATATAATTTATTATCTCTCTCTCTTTTTGAAATTAGCGGCTATAACTTTAATTATGCGAATTAATTGTATGTACATATGTAATTGCAATACTTTAGTCTGAAACCACAGTTTAGAATGAAAGCAAAGTTTCAAAAGCACAGCGTTAATTTGTAATTTAATTTTTGTGCTTTAACTAAAATATTCCTTTTGAACAAAAAAGTAATTTTTTAATGCTTTTCAGTAACAAATATGTTTACTATGTATCTATTTGTAGTACATATACTAAATGACATGGATATGTTTGGGCTTTAAATGTAATCCATTACACAAGGAAAATATTTGCTAAGTGTTTTTATTTCATTGAAATTTTTTCATACATACATATTTATGTATGTATGTACCTATGTACATCAAAATAACATTTAACACATTAAAAAAAAGAAGCTAAAATAAAATTGTAACTTCCTTTGCTTATTGCGATGCTAGTGTGAAAATCAAATGCATAATAAACTGGTGAAAAAATAAAAAGCCACTAAAATGGGAATCCAAATTCTTAATGCCATATACAGTGTATTCTATTTATATGAAAAAAGAGTGTGCATACATCTACGCGAATCAACCAATAAATACATGTTCACTTTTAACAAATGAAAAAATTAAATATAATATTTACCGTAATAACTAAAATTAAAAATATATGAAAGAAAACAAAATAAAATGAAATAGATATCGCTCATTTACTTCAATACTGTCATAACTCAAAAAACCAATATCTTGAGAAAAACAGCTATAAAATTTTGAATTTCCATATATTGGTGGTCCTCTGCAATAACGACACAACCCAAAATTTCATATTTTTCAGTAGTCAATTAAAGATAATGTGTTTCGTAATTTAGCAATAATATACTTGGAACGTAATTATTCCCGTTTATGTGCAGTCTTTCTGTAGGGAGCTTTTAAATTATGGCTTTTTTCTAAAGATTTAGTAAGGCTTCGACTGAAAAAAATACGAAATAAGTAACAAAACTGCGCATCTGCCGGATTGGTAACAACTAAGCCTATGTCGCTTTTGCCAAAGAAAAATCGGTTACCTAATCCGCTATATAACTCAAAAACACGAGATTTTGAGTTGTGCCGTTATTGCAGAGGACCATCGATATATAAAATTATTGTGACTCAAAGCCACAAAGTTTCATCTGGCATCAGCTTAAGGGGAGGGGCCGATCCAGAGAACCAAACTGCACTCCCGCCCGACTTATCAGAGTGAGTATGAGTCAAAAGTTTCTGGAAACACTACCCTCGAGACTCCTGTGGCAACTTTGCTTTTACATGCACAACGACGTTGAATACCGGTTCATTACGCCACGAAATGACTCGAACGACGCGTTTTCGTTGAATGTCTAGCGTTAGCTATTAAGTCGCAAGATACCGAACTGAAAATCATCATACCACCTCCTACCAGTTTTTTAGCTGGATTTCGTCCGAAATTAAGTGCGCGACTCCAACTAGAGCGACGACCAGCAGCTTAAGAATTCTTATGCAAATGCTGAAGAAACTAGGTCCTGCGGGAATCTATAGAAACTCAGTCGCATTCTTGGTATCCCTTACCACTTTGATCATTACAGGGATCTGAGGAATAGATTCGATCATTCCCCTTCCCAAGCCAGGGAGGAAGACGAAAGCAGAAGAATCATACCATCCTTCTTTTTCAAGTCTGACTAAGCAGCTAAAACCAGCAGCGGAACACCAGCATGGTGTCTGTAAAATGTACGGCACCAAAACATCTAAGAGAGAGAGAATCTGAACCAACTTCGAACTTTTGATAAATAGGAAGGCTCTAGTCAATGTTCATTTCGAATGCAATTGACACGGCATGAATTGATATGAATTTGAATCTCTCATTGAATTCCGGAACGCCAAGTCCAATTTGCATCGCCGCCAGCCAGAGTCATCTTAGTGAGTTATGCAGACGATAGCACAATTATGGCGACGGCCCCAAACAAAACCAAAAAAAAATTCAAAACACAAACAAATGTGATTTTTTAAACATGTGGCAACACTAAAATATATTTCGGAAATAAAACCTTTTCAAACTCACTTCGATTGATACCCTTATTTTAATAATTCATCTAACATGTAAAAAGATTTGAGTTAAACTTTCTAAAACAGGTGGCAACCCGCTTCAAAATATTTTTAAACTAAAACCTTAAAGTGACATTAAAGCGCTGTAGATTGCGTACATCGACTTAGACCGTTTTCGTGGGCTCAGGTTCACGGTTTAAAAAATATACACTTATTTATCGACCCTCGTTCATTGAATACAAACCTCCAATTACTATATTAAAAATTCACATAGATATTTATAAATATTTAGTTTTGTATGTTTGCTAACCAGATCTAGAAAAAAATTGTATTTGGTAAAAAAGCATTAAATATTTCAATTAAACAAAAAATTATGGCCGATGAAAATACCAAAAAAACGCTGGCGTACATGAAAATCTCTTTGGCATTGCAACCACAAAGTGAACATGAAAATCGCGCTTAATTTCCATTAATAATGCAAATAGGGATTTAGGTAGTGAATCGCATTGCAATCATCCTTCTGATATTTGATATGCTGCTACTACAACAACCATACCAAATGGTCGAATGCTATTATGAAAACAGTAAATACATACATATATCAGCTGCATATGTACACTAGGCGACAAATGAAAGTGTACACCTTGTTCGCAAAAAAATGATATTCCAGGGACGCGGACTTTTATAACTTTTATAACAAAAGCCGTTAGAAAAAAATTATTTTTGGACTTTTATTTTATTTGAAATAAAATAATTGGCCAAACCGGACTTAACAATTAAACTTGGGCAAATACTTTTTAAAAATAAAAAAAAAAAAACATATTTGGTACCAAATGAAAGAGGACTAAAATC